TATTAATCAGCTGTGAAACTGTCTCATTTATATTTATTTCTCAATAAAAAATTAAAAAATAACAGTTAAAAAAATTTGAGGGGCTGGTGAGATGGCTCAGTGGTCTAAAGCACCTACTTAGAACAAGCTAAGCTAAGTAAAGCACAGGGACCACGGTTCAATTCCCAGCACCACATGCCAGCCAGAGCTGGCCACACACACTAAATAAAATCAATAAATAAACAAATAAAAAAATTAAAAAAAAAATTTGAAGGGGCCAGGGAGATGGCTTAGTGGAATAAGCACTTCCTTGGCAAGCGCAAGGGCCTGAGTTTGATCCCCAGTTCCGCAAAAAAAAAAAATATCTGAAGCACAAAGAAGTTAGAAAACTTGTGTAAATCAAGAAAAAAAACCCTGAAAAGGCCAGAGGTACACTATCTTCACTTTCATCTAATTCCTCTAAGACAGACAATTAAGTCTCATTAATAAGCTTTGTTGTCCAAGATTCCATGTGAAGTCAGAGAGGACAAAGTTCCAGTGTGATCTGTGCTCTTACTAAACATATTTATGTTTAGAAAACATGTCTGCATCTTGTACTATGAATAACTACTGCAAAGACAGTATGCAGTGTATTAATTATTGCAACTATACTACTAACCTGTTTTGAAACTAATTGCTACTTTCTCAAAATTATTAAAAAATAAAAATATGGGGCTGGGGAGACAGCTCAGTATAATATGCGCTTGCCTGGCAAACACAAGGGCCTGAGTTCAATCCCCAGTTCCAGCCCAAAAAATAAAAATAAACATATTTATTAAACTAATGTTTATGAAACCTGATGTGGTGGCACATGTCTGTAATCCAAGCACTTGGGAAGCTGAAGCTTAAAGACCCCCATGAGTTTGAGACCAGCCTGGATTATAGAGCAACACCCTGTCTTTAAAAATAAAGATTATAGGGCCGGAGAGACAGGTCAGTAGAATAAGCGCTTGCCTGACAAGCACAAGGGCCTGAATTCGATCCCTGGTTCCACCAAAAACAAAAACAAAACTTACGAAAATAAAAATTACGAAAAAAATAAATAAAAATTATGGATCCAGGAGTGGTGGTGCCGGTCTGCAAACACAGCACTGAGAGCTGAGGCAGAAGGGTCGCTGCAAGTTCAAGACCAGCCTGGGCTACATCGCAAGACCTGTCTTACGAAAAAGACTCAAAAAAGGAGGCCAGGGGGAGAGAGAGGAGAGTGTTTTGATTCTTGGCATTTCATTATTTTGTAAACAGATTCGGGGACTCTGATCATAGCTGCATTGGGAAACTGGATTATTTAGCTAGTTTTCTTGCACATACTGGGCTACAGTCTTCCCTTAGGAGAAATCCTGTATCAGGATTGATGGTACAGTCTGTGCCTAGAACTGAAAAACTGCTCAATAAATGAATTTGTTGTGCTGTAGTAAGGATGCCTGCTTTGTACCTTGCCCTTGCCTGAAAGTAGGGTTTTCTTTCATTTTTCGCAGCTCAAGAGTCAGGATGTCTCAGACTTAACACCAGGTGAAAGGGAAGACTCATCATTACTTGCTCCTGCAGCCAAAAAACTGAAAATGGAGACCAAAGAAAAGAAAGAGAAGAAGCAGAAAGTGGATGAAGATGAGATTCAGAAGATGCAGTAAGTCACTTTCCCCCTTTCAAGGCTTTGACTTTACACAAAGTTCATACATTTTTCTTCGCCTTTGCATTTTTTTTCTTTTTGAAACCCAAGAGATCTTTTGCTGGATATATTTGTATGTATACCTTTTCAGATTTGTTTTTTGATATTTGATATGTACAGCTATTTTCATGTTAGTAAATATGCTGATAAGTCATTTTTAATGGTACATTTTTTTCTTGTTATGTGGATGTTCTGGTTGATTTTTGTTGTTGTTCTTCTGACAATACTGATATATCTGAGCATATCTTTGTATACCTGCTCATGACACTTTAAAATAAATTCTTAAAAGTGTAATTGCTAGTTTAAGCAATATAAAAAAGCCAGGAATAGTGGTGCACACCTGTAATCCCAGGACTCTAGGAGGCTGAGACAGGAAGACTGCAAATTTGAATCCAGCCTGGGCAATTTAATAACTTAGCAAAAAGTATGAAAGGTTTTTGTACATATTTCCAACATTTTGCAAAGTATTTCATTGTTTCTGCTGGGTTTTGCTCTTGCTTTTTGGTGGTATGTGGGCATTGAGCCCAGGACCTTCATATTGACCCTCATCTCCAGCCCTTCATGTCCAGGCTGAGCTCAGACTTGCCATCTACTGATTGGTCATTGATAGTTCAATAAATTTCCTGCTCATGTCCTCTGTTCATTTTCCACAATTGATTTGGCCATCTTTTTATGAAAGAATTATATATTACAAATATTGTTTTGTATACAGTTTGCAAATATTTCCCCCTAAATCTGTTAATGCTAAAAACTACTCCTTTGAATATAAACATATTATTATCAATGTGAAATGCAGTAAGGTAGAATTAAGTGGAGAGGGAGCCTAATGCTAAAGCCAGTCTGTAAAGTACAACACTTTACCTCTGCATTGCTCAGCTCTGTCCTAATTAAAAATTTTTTTAAAAAAATTGTTTCGTAATTTCTCAAGTTCCTTAGTGGTAAAAATGTTACCTCCATCCCTCATTGGCACCAGGCCTGAGGCCGTGGACTCCCTCAGTATTATTTGTATAATTGTCTGAGACTTGCTTTTCTTGACTTGGTGTTTTCAGCTTTCATTCTTATCAACTAACTTAATTGGCTGAATCTTTGTCTAGAATCCTGGTCTCTTCTTTCTCGGAGGAGCAACTGAACCGCTACGAAATGTACCGCCGGTCAGCTTTCCCTAAGGCAGCCATTAAAAGGGTAAGGCTGAGCTTGCCTTCACTGTCGTGTGTCACAGCTGAATCCGGCTGTCATCACAGTCTTTATTCTCTTCAGCTGATCCAGTCCATCACCGGCACCTCTGTGTCCCAGAATGTCGTCATCGCCATGTCTGGTATCTCCAAGGTTTTCGTTGGGGAAGTGGTAGAAGAAGGTGAGCGCTGTTGGTTCTACATGGATTGTCCCTGGGGTGGCCTTTTTTTCAAGAGTATCTATAGAGGCCAGGGAGATGGCTCAATAGAATAAGTGCTTGCCTGGCAAGCGCAGGGTCCTGAGTTCAACCCCTGGTACCGCAAATAAATAAAAAATAAATAAAATTAATTAATTTATAAAAAAGAATATCTATAGCAAGGAACTTACTGAAGCACTGGAAGTTTCCATTTGCACTGGGGGTGCCCGGTATTCAGGAAAGCATTACTTGTTTCTTACAAGTTTCAATACTAGGGATCAAGGAACTATCTAGGAGATCCCTCCCCATACCTCTCCTTAGTCGAGGGTACAAGCAGCCGATTTTGTCTTTTACACAATCAGAGCTTGTCTGTCTCTGCTGACAGATACAAGAAAAGCCATGGCCAGGGCTAACCTGGTGTAGTGTGGTATGTGGTAGGTTGCCCTGACATTGTCGCCCTGGGAATGCCCCCCCCCCCACCTTCTGTTAACAAAAAGCCTGGCTGCTTCCCATTGCTAACCCCTAGCTTATAAAGTCTTGATGTGCTTAAGCAGGAGATATGTTTTACTGTTGTCTAATGTGGCATATTACTGACATGATACATCTTGTAGCATTCTGTTAAAGAAATGTCTTGATTTATTCCCTTAACAAATTATAAGAATTACAGAATCCTTTGGCATTAATAAGTTCTCATGTGATAACAAAACGTTCCTGTTTCTCTCTGCTTAGCTCTGGACGTGTGTGAGAAATGGGGAGAAACACCGCCGCTGCAACCCAAACACATGAGGGAGGCTGTTCGGAGGCTAAAGTCCAAAGGACAAATCCCCAATTCGAAGCACAAAAAAATCACTTTCTTCTAGACTGAAGCCCAGAAAAAGCCTGTTACTGACAAAGAATTCTGGTTCTAGTTCCGTTCCATGCAACATTCTGCACGGGTGTTTCAGTGTCACCATCCTCCAATGTGGCCTACGTCACAGTTGCCTTGATTAAATTTTGGAACTTCTCAGGCCATTTTGAGATGCTCAGCTGTCTCTAGCTAGCAGAAAGAGATACGGGCCTTCAGCATCTTCTAGACAGGAGAGCTGCTTCAGAGACAATATCTTTCAAGAGAACGTTCACAATGAAGCCTAAAGTACCAAGATCTAGGTTGTTCTTGCATCTGGGTGTTTTCTTTGTTTGGTTTGGGGTTTGTTTGTTCGAAGAACTGGGGATTGAACTCAGGCCCTTGCACTTGCCAGGTACTGAGCTATCTCCCCGGCCCCCTTGCATCTGGTTTTAAGTGGCTGAGACCAGCTGAAACTTTGGACCTGTGGTACTCTACCATGAAGGATGAGAGAACATGTGCTTGCTAACATTTAAGATTCTCCTGTGGGCCGAGGAGATGGCTCAGTAGAATAAGCGCTTGCCTGGCAAGCGCAAAGGCCTGAGTTCAATCCCCGGTTCCACAAAAAAAGAAAAAGATTCTCCTGTGAATTTTGATGACTGATTGTAAGACTTTTCCAACTTGTAATCATTTTGTGTCCAGCTGGTTGTAATGGGGAGAATTTTATCATTGTTTTTTGGTGTCCAAATAAAACTTAAGACTCTTTTGTAAAAATTTGTGAGCCCTTACCTTTTTCTGCTGGAACCATCAAAATTTTGACTCACAAAAGAGCACTTCAAGCACTGGAAAACCACATAAAAGCCCATATATTTCTGACTCCTACAATAGATACACAAGAACCAATGCTTTTTAATAAGTTTAATTTCTTTTTCAGGTGGTTCACAGAACCAGTACACTCAGAGTTGGGTTCAATATTGCAACACTGAAGTTCCCCAATACTGCCCAGGATTCCAGTTCATCACATACATTCTCCGTGTTGCCCTCACACAGGGGCTGGAGTGACCTTTATTGACAGTGTCAGCACTGATAAGGCCGCAGTAATATAATTGGTAGCCCCCAAACGGCTCCTCAGTGTCACAGGGAAAAGGCTTCTAAAGCTGCTCTCTTGAAACTTCCCTTGAGCAGGTCTTAGTAAAGACTCCAATTCTGTTTAGCACCCTGATTTTGAGGAAACGTTTTAGACTTAGAAATCTGGACAGATCTGACTTTTAGTACTTTACATTAAAACTCAAAGGCTGTAAGAAATTAGCCAAAGAAAAAGACACTTCCATGGAGCATTCCACAAAGAAATGCTGTAAGACAAGCTAAATCTTGACCAAAAACTAATAAACTGACAAAAAATTACTCTCTCATTTCTAACAGGAACTTTTTTATAAACAGCTGTGGAAACTACACCTATTGCAATTGAAGGTACTAGATAAGGCTAAAACTAACAAAGGAGGGAGATCAAATCCCAAATCTGGCCCCTTAGCAAGGCCTTACTGTTAAAGGTTATGCAAGAGCCATGGGGAATGGAGTACCCATTCAGTAACAGTGACTGTCCACAGCTACCTAGAGAAGACTAGAATATTCCCATGGAGTGCCACCCCAGGTTCTCTTTTTGACAATGGTGATAAATTACAAGGCCACAATACAGCTTTCAGTTCCCAGTCTCGTCATTCTACCAGTTTGTGTAGCAAAGCTCACTCATTTCCAGCTTTGTGGCTTTTGACTATAACTGACTTTAGAAGTTCCAGTGATGATTAAAATTGGCGGGGGAGGGACAGTGCAATGAAACAGGAAGCTCTCACACAGCCAGACGTGCATCCCTCCAACTACAGTACCTTCTTTACACAGCCTCTGTCTCCCCCTAGGGGGAAACCAGTGCACAATAAAAGCCTAAGGGAAGCATTGCAGGGACAGGGTTTGTGAGAGATGGAATTTAACCCCTTGTACATGCCACATGAGAACCATTCGTCAGAACCACGAAGGCAGTGGCAGAGATTAAGGCCACGGCAGAAGGCCCACATGGAACAGTACAAAGCAGCAGCATGTAACTGGTGCCCCTCCTGTCTTAGAGAAATGTGGTTCATTATTCCAGTGAGTTGAAAACAGAATTAGGATTTAAGCTAGTCCATCCACACAAAAGCACATCCCCAGCATACCTCTGTAAACAGGAAATGAAGACCATCACAGATAGTGCATGGCTATGAATGTTTTGCAGCTGAAACGATGGGGTGCAGAGGCTGGGGTTTGAGGGACAGAGATGTCATTACTTGAGGCATTTTCAGAAACGTCATTTCTTACTATTGGGTTCCCACGCAGAAAATATAAGCCATTCCAAAGGGCTCACACTGCTACTGTTTTCTATTATTTTCCTTTACCCTTATCCTGAAGATTAACACCAGTTCACATGATTCATTAGAAAGCCTCATCCCCCAGATAGGAGTATGAAAATATACAAGATGATTTTTTTTTAATGTGTGTGTGTGTGTGTGTGTGTGTGTGTGTGTGTGTGTGTGTGGCCAGCTCAGCCCACCAGGGGGCGGAGCTGGCTGGCATGTGGTGCTGGGGG